AACAGTTGACCACATCGGTACTTACAAGTTCTGTCAATGACCATATTTTACCAATATGAGAAGGACCCATTGGAAGCCTCCACAGACACGAAGAGTAGTTAATTACATTAACCAGGTCAGAAAATGTTACCGTGGTTGAGTGAATTGAGAATTGAAACACCATTTAGTGTTAGGCCCCACAGCACTGTTTCAAATGAGGTGCTGGGCTTTATTCTGCAGACATTGTTCAGGAGGTGCATTTTATCCGCTCTTAACGGGGGTCGGGTGAGGAGACTCGAGCTCATCGCTGCGGCATGTATGTGCGTTGCACTTCTTTCGCACCATACGTAGCCAACCGTGCTAATCGTGTGATATGATGATTGCTTGTGTTGCAGTCGAAACGTCGTGAGAATTTTATTGTTTTATATTTGTATTATTTTGTTGTTTCACTTCTACGTGACTTTACCGAAAGAATCAAGAATAGAAATGGCAGCATTGTATGGTGAACCGCTTTAAATACCAAATTAAGTAATACAATGTGTGAGATACACAATATATAGTAACACAGAGATTAATATCAATAGTCATAGTCTGAACAGTTGACCGCATTGGTACTTACGAGTTCTGTCCATGACCATATCTGACCAAGTTGAGAACGACCCATTGGAAGCCTCCACAGACACGGAGTAGTTTCTTCCAGGAATCAGGCCAGTAAATGTTTCCGTGGTTGAGTAAATCTGGAATGTTGTAACCAAGTTTCCACTCGCAGTCGCTCGCAAGTAGGCCCAGTAGGAGAACGATTCCGGGAGAGAAGTCATCCCTGAGACTGTCATGGTCGTGGTAGTTTTGCCAGTGATGGTTAAAACGATGTAACTTGGCACTACAACAGGCATGGGTGACATTTTATGAAAATAGTATTTAACATATTATGAGAACAATTTAAAATTATGCATAGACAGACAATTTGAACACATTACTAAATATGTGGGTGTAGTGACAACGCTTTAACATACTTTCATAATCTAATCATTTTGAAATGAATGGTTCATTGAATTGTTTCATTTGTAATATTAAATTAACATTTCATATGAGTACTTGGAGTTGAATATTCATTGTTTAGTGGATTTACGCTTGACGTATCAACTTAAAATGTGAGAATATTGCAATGACTGATTTTTGATGTATAGATTGTATTTTTTAACTATAAACATTTCACAAAAAATTATGGGAATGTAAACTGGGCACGCTTAGGATGCTGAGATTCCAGCTATGTGTTGCTGTTAGAGACCTTTTTGCGTGTAAGTTATACTTTTCTCCTGGCTGCACACATTTTCTGCCTATTGAAGTTAGTTTTTATCTATTAAAATAATACTTAATACATTTTACATTTATTATTTTACCAGATAAGACCCACTGAGCTATGTACTGTAGATCTTATTCAGAAGCAACATAGCCACAAATGATAGCTCAATGAAGACGCTTATCACATGGAAATTTGTTGTTGAATCCAATGTAAAACCTTCAAAAATCTATTTCAGGATAAACTTTCGAAATAATGCATGAAACACATATGAAATTGATCTTAAGTGGATAAATAATAAATGTATTGATAGCAATGAACGTAATTTTCTTGGGTATGCAATAACAAGACAACAGAGCACACAGACTTATTGACCAACACATTCATTTAAGTAACCTTGCAAGCAGATGACTGAGGCATCTTCATAGTGGCTGCAGTAGTTATTCCCCCAGGGACGATGACTACAGTCTGAAAGCCGAGTCTCGGAACCAGAGCACTGAACTTCGTCGAGCCAGATACGACCACTGCCCAATCCAAAGTAAGAATATGACACGGCAAAGGCAGTGAGCCCACAACCCAGCTGACGACACACGACCTTTGCATCCTGTGGGCTCCAGAGGTCGTCACACACCGTGCCCCACTCGCCATTGTAGAACACCTCAACCCGGCCCTGACATGCGATGGCATTCCCAGCCAGCCGAATCGACATATCTAAGAATATAAAAACACACACAAGTTGATGCTGACGTGTAACGATTCGCCTACCATGCGACATTAAAAAGTCACAATTCAGGGTCATGATTCTTTTCAATAATTGATAGGGTACTGAATAAACTCATATTGACTGCAGAGGTTGCATGGAATGATTACACACCATGTATACGAATATCACGACGTTTCGACTGCAACACAAGCAATCATCATCAGGTGTGAAAACCACAGCAAGAAAATGTTCTTGCTATGGTTGTGAGAATTTTTATTGTTTAATATTTTTTATAATTTTATTGTTTCCCTTTTTCATGAATTTACCGAAAGAACCAAGAATTTGAGAACAGTTGCTTAATTAATTGATAGTGTAGATTGTGGGCTCTCAGATGCGTTTCTGCAGACGTCTGGAACACTTTTCTAATATTAGTAAGCCACTGGTACTTATGTACTTTTACATCTAGGTTGAAACTCAATTTCTTTGGAACTGCGTTTTCTTTGTTCGTTGTGCTTCTCTCGCAGCTCTGATTAGCAAAGATTGCTACATATGTTGCGAAAGTTCAACATACATACACGCGGAGGCGTGGAATGATTTTGTATGGATAATTTATATGCAGAGGAACAACTACAATTTTACATTCAGGAGGTCAAGCCAGATAACTGTGTCAGGAGCAGTGGAGTGTATCGCCGTGATGTCTTCTTCATATTTGCCAATTGGGCATTACGTCGTTATATGTTTTATGGTCTCTGTTCTGGATGACCATAGTCACACACTGGACTGTTTTAAATTTTCCGTTTGTGGATGAGGTACTGTCATGGTTTGTGCGGATGCGGCTTAGGGTGGACCATCAGCTTTGTAGAATATCAAACCCAGGGATATTCTGCAATGGGTCTTTCACAAGGTGTTTGTGATTATTGGTTCTTTCGGTAAAGTCACGTAGAAAGGAAACAATAAAATAATAAAAAAACAGTACAAATTCTCACGACCACAGCAAGAACATTTTATTGTTGTGGTTTTCACACCTGATGATGATTGCTTGTGTTGCAGTCGAAACGTCGTAATAATTTTTATTGTTTTATATTTTTTTTATTATTTTGTTTCCCTTCTACGTGAATTTACCGAAAGAACCAAGAATATGAATCCCTGCAGTCACAAAAGCTTTAAATCCAAATTTAAGGTGTTTTTGAGTTATTTTAAACTGCATTCAACTCTCCAGAATTCATCAGGGTTGAACTTGAATTGTTTAAGGTGAAGCATATTGATCCAAAAGGACTGTGTGACTTCAAGCGATGACAAGGGATGTTAATGAGATCATGATGAATGGCAAGGCAACCTTTTTTCCTCTATTTGCAGGACTTTCTACGTGGTTGCAGCTTTGCGGCGGAAGGGTGGGGAAGAGACATGTGGCAGCACGGCCAGCCACAGTGTTGGAGTCAACTTGAGGGTTCAAGTGTTACACCACATTGTCGTGTTCAGTTGGACATCAACAAGTCGAGTGTGCCAACTTCTGGTCCATACTGATGCGTAGTACTCGGCTACAGAGTACACAAGGACACCATTGATGCCAAGTCCTCTAGGAGCTAAGTGATGAAGAATTTTGGGGGAGGGGGGGATTACCATCTTTGTCGGCAGCCTTGTATTTCTTCATTTTAGCCAGACCCTCCCTCACTTCCTCTGTGTTGATGGCATTGGGGTCTTGTAAGGACATTGTCTGGTGTAATTGGCAATGGATCACTCACTTGATGTTTTTGTCAAGCGGCCATTTTTTTTCCACTCGTTCGGAGGCTATAGAGTTGAGCAGGACTCTTGCGGTCCAGTATTATGTTGGATTAGTAGAACCTCGATGTCGCAGTAGTGCCCAGGCATGGGGGCTGGAGTGAATGAAGTCCAGGCTTTCAACGCACTCAATCCAACGCTGGCATCTGGCTGAGTCTAAAGACTCCAGCAGGGTCTATCCAACCTCTGGCTGCCCAACTGGTTGTACTTTCGGAGCAGGTCCTGGGCTTCTTTTGTCCAGCAGGAAGCCTCGCAGGTTGCTCTTCTTGGCGGCTGCAGTAAGGAGGCTAATAAAATGGTAATATCATTCCAGTGTCGTGGGTATTCGACTCGCCACTCTCTCTACAGCCTCCTAATATTGGCCCCAGTCAGCTTTGGCCAGATTCCACCTTGGTAATCGTTTTGGGCACAATCACGGGGATTTCGATGCCAATGTGGGCAATCATGGGCCTATGATGACTTTTGGGGAAGCTTGGAGGTATTTTGCAGGATCGGTGAAGTATGCTCCCACTTTGATTCTTGGAAACGTTGCTATGCAAAGTAATACTAAATCATATGAAGCTTTGTCATCAACATCAGCCATGATCAGTCTACTTCTGGATGAAGGCTTCAATAAGACATCAGCATCCCTGATGATTCTGTAATGTAACAGTCCATCTAGCTCTTGCAACGAACTGATTTCATCGCTCCATCTCCCGTATGCATACACTCTCAGGCACGTTCCCTCCTGTTGATGCCACTCAACCACTGGCCATCATCCCTTCTAATGACATGTCCTGTCTCTTGGTGTAATCCCAGTATGCACTTCGAGTTTTTGAGCACTTTTAATCTTTTTTGCATTCATTATTTTATCATAATCTGGATCTGCATTTAAAAGCTCCCTTATGTATAATTATCTAACGTGTTCCAGTTGTATGTCTCTAAAAGATATTTAAAATTGTTTAGCAATTGCCACATTATGGTATTTTATTTATCTATTATTATTCGTTATATAGGACGTATATGGAAATAGACAGTCAGCATTAGTAAATCAAGTTGTGTTAACCAAGAAGAGGTCAAAATGTATTTTATATTTTCCAATAAAGCATGATAAACTTTATATTCTTGGTTCTTTCGGTAAAGTCACGTAGAAGGGAAACCGAAAGAACCAAGAATATGAATCCCTGCAGTCACGAAAGGTTTAAATAAAAAAATGATAAACTTTGTATTCTCTTTGGTTCTTTCGGTAAAGTCAGGTAGTTAGATATAAAATAAAATTAAACAAATCACGACGTTTTGATCGCAACACAAGCATGAATATACAATAAACTTTGTATATTCATGCAATGTATTATAATTTAATGACTATTTATTTTGGAATTCATGATTCAATTATTTTTAACGTGGATCAAAAACAACAATACATTATGGCTGTTTACAAATGTATTGTAATAAAAACATGGATTATATTTATGGTGATTGTTCTTGATTGTGAAAACGTGTTTCATCTTTGGTGCTCACCGACATAATTGTCTGATTATAAATAATGCATATACTTACAGGTTATGCTTGTGACAATGGCTGACGGTTGGGAGTTGATGCCGCTGTACGCGGTTACAGAAGCATTATAACTTCTACCAGGGACCAGATCAGTAAATGCTTGTGTTGTAATATTGGAGTACAAAATGAAGCTCATCACTGCTGTTGCATTGTACGTTTCACTTAAGTATACCACGTAGTAGTCCACATCTGAAATAGGAGCCAGCCATGAGACCGTCATGGCTGTAGGGCTGTTGACGATGACGGTGACATTGACTTGTGGAGGCACTGCAAAGTTAAATAAACATGAGTGACAGACGGATTGCAAGGGCTAATAATAATGCCATTAACTTGAGTCATTAAAGTGGCAAATTACACTTTAGATAAAATTATCACCATATATTTTGTATATATGCCCTCTTGTTTGTCCATCTATGTGTTGATTGGAAAAGTACGTAATTTATAAACAGATATTTAAATGTGACAATTGAGGCAACTAGAATTTTCCAAAGAGTACTATGAAATTAAAGGCTGGCTTGGCCTGTAGTGTAGTTTAAAAGTAAATATTTGCAGGAACATTTGCTGAGACCTAATTACCGTGGTCAATGAAAGACGGTGAATAGGGGATGTGGGTCACGCAGGATTAGTTCAAATTTAACTCATGACTGATGTTTGCAATGGACCTTAATTTACATGAGTACATAATATGCATTATGTAAGGATTACATTATGGAAGAATTACATGTCAAATTTAATTCACCATGGACTCCAACCACAATATATTTTGGTATTTGAAAGTATGTAGGTCGTATATCCGACCTTGTTAAAAGTTGCTGTTTCTTTGTAACACGTAGGCTTTCCTGACCAATATTATTCATAATACAGATTTTTGGGTTAGATCGCGTAAGTATAAATGAGTCAAAACCCTCCGCCACCCGACATAGCCAATCAGTAAGGGATTTGTCACGTAAACAAATAACAAATAGTTACTTCTTCTGCCCACCGGTGTGTTTGAAGAGTGAATCCACAACCTTTACAATTTGAGTAGGACGTTTCGCTGGAAATTACATCCAGCATCTATGGACGATTTGCCAGAATAGTGAAGCCATCCACCTGCTTCTGGTTTAAATAGAGCAGGACGACGTGATCATTGAACCCAATCCGGTGTTGAGATCAGAGGCGGAGGAGGGGGGTATTGTAATTATATAATAGATCAGTAATCAGTAAATTAAATAGGACGACGCCTGAAGTTACGTAAAAACAATTCCTGTGAAATGACCTTGTTTTAAAAAAATGCTCTTAAAATTGATCTGTTTTGTTCCACATGAGCTTCATGAATGGTGAATATGTTTATAACAGTTTGAATGTAACATCGACAGAGGCATCATTCCATGATTGAGGTATTCATGTCTGCAGGGACATTTAGTGAATATGTCCTATGTTGTTAGTAAAGAGGCAATTAAATAAGTACAATTTGACAAATTTCACGTGAAAATAATACATAGTTCAAATTCTATTATCCCTTAACACGGCTCATGTGATCACATCACATATATTCCTCTATTTAAGAACGAACAGGAAGATTTATCCACAACTCTGACAGTCGCCTGATGATGCTAGTTTTAATTACTGGCGCAACGTCGTACTTGAATTGTAAATGTTGTGAATTTACTTTTCCAACACCCGGGTGTACTATACTCGTGTAGGGACATGAAATGGTTTACTACGTAGCATAGTGCTGGCTGCTGGGAGGGAAGGGGATCTGCAGAGCGAAGCAGCACTGATTGATAGCAGGCCACATGATACACCGGAGAGGGATCTAGGGTAAAGGTTTACGAAGCGATGCGTCGAGAGCCCGCTCGTAGGTTCCAAAAGGGGGGCGTGGCTGGGGCGGAACGAGGCCACGCTAACAGGATTAAAGGGGACTCTGAGTGAAGGCTCGGGGCCGCCCTCGTTGGAGTGGGATCCCCTCGTCGTCGTCGTCGCTGCTGTCGCCTTGGCGACTGTCGTTTCGTGCCTTCGTCGCTGTCGTCGTCCACTTGATAATTGCGCTGCTAGTAGTAGTTGGCTGTCTTAGCTCAGCACCGTCATTGTCAGATGGCTAGATTTGTGTTGTAGGCTAGCATCCAGTATAGCGTTGCGTTTAAGCGAGAAACAGTGCAGAGTGTGTAACAGTGTGCTCGGTGTTAATTAAAGAATTGCCTCCTAGAGTTACGTCTCCAAGTCAGTCACTACACTAGTAACGAATTGCCATGTTCTGTTAAAGTGACAAACCTTACTAATAGGCTGTGTCAGGTGGTGGCGGGTTTAACTACGCATTTATATTTACACAATCTCACCCAAAAAACCTGTTATGTCCTCAACTTAAGCCACAAAACTGGCATATAATACATTATATCGAACGATCACCATATATTTTCGATATGCCCTCTTTTTTTCGTCCAAATATATATTGATGAGAAAAGTATGTGTTTTATTTGCAACAAAACAAGAGCTCACGTGAACGTAACCAACGTGTGAATCGTACATTTGTCTATTTTAAATGCAGGAACAATGGCAGCATTGCATGGTGAAACGCTTTCAATACCAAATTAAGTAATGCAAAATGGAAGATACACATTGCAGTTATATATAGTAGCATACACAGATTAATGTCTATATTAATATAGTCTGAACAGTTGACTGCATCGGTACTTACAAGATCTGTCCATAACCATATCTGACCAAGTTTAGAAGGACGCATTGAAAGCCTCCACAAATGGATCATTCCATGATTGAAGTATTCATTTCTGTATTAACACTGAGTAAATATATCCAATGTTGTTCGTGAACAAGTGGTTAAATAAGTAAATATTTGGACAAAATTCTAACGAAAATAAAACCTACAATCGAAATTATAATTCTCTCAACATGGCTGCACACATGTTTTATAAAGCAAATAACAATGAATGTATAATCAGTTAAATACTCACAGCTCCTTTTAGTAACGATGGCTGATGATTGGGAGTTCATGCCACTGTATGCTGTTACAGATATCTGGTAACTTCTACCAGGAACAAAACCAAAAAAGCGCTGCGTTGTAACATTGGAGGAAAAATTGAAGTGATATGCTACTGATGCGTTGTTAGTTTCATTTAAGTAGACTCTGTAGTAGTCAATATCTGAAATAGGAGCCACCCATGAGACCATCATGGCTGCAGAGCTGTTGACGATGACGGTGACATTGACTTGTGGAGGCACTGTAATGTGAAATGAAATGATTGAGAGACAAAGTGAAAGGGCTAATTACGTCATTACCTTACTCAACTAAAGTGGAATATAACACATAAGTTACCGTAATCAACACATATTTTGTATATGCCCTCTTTTTTTTGGTCCAAAACAAGAGCCCAGTATAAGACACGGACCGTAGCAAGGGGGGGTGCGGGGTATAAAAAATACGTCTACTGAGACCCTCAATACCCCTGAGTCAATAAATGGAGAGTAGATAGGGTTCACTAGCGCACACACATGCGGACTACGAGAGGTAGCGTCGGTTGTTATTATATTGTGAGGGGAGATTCAAGGATCCGGGACAAAAGTTGGGAGAGCCTCCACATGCCAAGTGGAGTTGTCTTAACAAAAGTCCCGCAGATCGGTGACTGAATCCCCCGTCTATCCCCAGAGGGGGGAAGGAGGGAAATACCCTAAGCGCCCGCCTCCTCCCTCAGACCTCCCTGCATGCACACCCCACAACAAGGTCCACGGGGGTGGGGACCGCCCGACTCCGAACTCACTCCTTAGACTCGTGTTTGTGTTCTGATCACACGAGGGCTAAACGATAACCGTGCCAGAGTTTCCATGAAGAATGCCCATGATCCCTGCAGTTTTTTGCCAGTCGCCTGCCCAGCCATAATGTCAAGGGTTTACAGTAAAACGGACTAAACATTTTAAACACCGTTTAGTTTCAGGCGCCACAGGGTTGTTTCAATTGAGTGGCTGGGCTTTATACCGCAGACATTGATAAGGAGTTTCGTTGTATCCGAGTAACGGAGATCGGGTGATGAGTCCCGATCCCCTCACCATTGCATGCGTGTATGTATGTAGAACTTATTTGGCACTGTACTTAGTCAACCATGATAAACACGTGAATCGTACATGTGTCTATTTTACATGTGTAGTGACAATGGCAGCATCACATGGTGGTAAAAGTTTTCAATACCAAATGAAGGAATACAATATGTAAGATACAAATGCGCTTTTAGATGTAGTGACTAGCGGTTAGTACCCGGCGTTGCCCGGGCGAAAAAGGTAGACACACACATGGACTTACAAACAGACATGGACCCATGCACATAGAATCCCACTGACTTACACGCACGCAAACACATATGGACTCACACACACAGACATCGACATGAGAGACACATGTAGTTACACACGCAAATCGACTCAAACACACAGAGTTACACGCACATATCGACTCATACATACATACATAGACTGAACAACAACAACCGCTATTCGCCACTAAGTGGCAGTGACGTCACTACAACGCTTGTGGCAGGCTATGTGCACCTTGAGGCCACGTGAAGTGTCGAACACATGCTGGCAGGAGGTCACGGGGCAGACCCAGATGGCACAGGTCTACTGAGATGACTGGCAGATGCACCACCTGTGCCCTGTACTGTACCCTGCTAACTTGCTGTGCTTTAGCCACACGGTGCACCGCTCGTTCTTGTGAGCGTCGCTCCTCCGCCCTCCGTTGTTGTTGGAGGCCGACTGCCTCCAACTGGCCTGTAGCGTCCTTCACGAGACTCCTCCACAGATACCGACCTTGACACCGCTGGTACCAGTCATCGACAAGTCCACTCAGCTGCACATCGTGCTGTAGCACATCACTCCATCTCTTCTCTAGCCTGTGCCGCGCCCGTTTAGAGACCTCGATCCGGCGGAACAAAAGGTGTTTAGGCATGCGGTGGCTGGGCATGCAGGCTACATGGCCCAGCCAACGCAGCCTTGCCTGGCCATGCAGGCTACATGGCCCAGCCAACGCAGCCTTGCCTGGCGTAGGAGGTCACCAATGGGACTTTGTCCAGATCTTTCAAGTATTTGTGAGCTCATCACACAATCCAGCCTGGTTAAACCCAGGATGGATCGTAGGCAGGCCAGCCTAAATGTTTGTAACCGGCGAAAATGTTGCATTAGGGGGGTTCAAGTTTCGCAAGTGTAGAGAAGGGAGGGAATGACCGTGGGAGAGATGACGTGGAGCTTCGTGCAGAGCGAGAGACCAGGTAGCTTCAACACAGTGTTACACATATTCTTAGCTCTTTCGGTAAAGTCACGTTGAAGGGAAACAATACAATGATGAATATATTATTGTTCCCATTCAACGTGACTTTACCGAAAGAGCTAAGAATATGAATTACTGCAGTCACGAAAGCTTTAAATCACAATGTTACAGCCGATGAAAAGATAATGCCACTCAACTGATTTAGAGTGAGACCTCTGGTGTTAAACCGGAGCCGGTCATGAGTACACTGGGCAGGTATGGGAAGCTCTGCACTCTCCACAACTGGCCCATCACCAATTGTGAGTTATGGGGGTGGATTGTCCGATGGTACAAAATACCCAGGCAGGTGCTTAGTTTTGGTGGGGCCGATGGCAAGGCCCCACCTCTTAGTGGCAAGCTCCAGGTTGTGCAGCAGCGCGTCCAACTCCTCTTCTGAGTGAGCATTAATTACCAGATCATCGGCACACATAACGTGGTTGACCAATAGGGAGCCATCGATTGACCGCATCCGGGCACCGACCAGCCCCCCACTATATCTGTATCAGATGTGAATTATTCCGGTAGAGGCATTGAAGGTTTGACGAAGTACGTGGTCCAAATATATGTTAAAGAATGTGAGAGGCAGCGGACATCCCTGTCGCACCCCAAGATGTACAGGGAGTGGCTCTGATTCACGATCAAGTAGTTTGATGTGGGGCCACTCACCATCATGAAGGTCCTTAAGGACCGTGAGCAGAGGGTCAGGGACTCGAAAAGTACGAGGAGCAACCCAGAGCCCAGGCCTAATGATGGTATCATAGGCCCTGAGCAAGTGAATAAAGCACACATATGGACTAACACGCACACATGGACCTACAGGCACGCAACGAAATGGACTAACACTGACTAACATGGAGCCAAGCACACACAGCGATGAACACACATGCACATGGACTGACACACACACATATCAAGTCACACACACACATTGACTTACACACACACATCGAGTGACACACACACATACATAGACTTACAGACACATTGATCTACACACACACATATGGACTTACAGACACACAGGGACTTACACACACACATGGACCCACGCACACACATCGACTGACAGCCACACATCGACTCACACATACATAGACTCACACACAGACATGAACTTACACACACATACATCTCGACGCACACACACACATGGACTGTCACACATAGACACATTGCCATACACACATCGACTGACACACAGACTCCCACACAAACATAAATGGACTGACACACGCACATAGAGGCACACAAACATGGACTGAGCCACACACATGGACGTACGCACACACATGGACGTATGCACACACACACACACATGTACGTACAGACACACACACATGGACTCACACGCACACATGGACCAAAAAACACACACATAGAAAGAAAAGTACTTACACTGACTGACATGGAGCGACGCACACACACACATTGACTCTCACTCACACATGGCCACAGACATGCACAACGACCCACACACACACATAGACTTAGACGCAGGCATTATTACTGTGAAAGAAGTAACTTAATGAAAAAGAGAGTAGTTTCTACACACACACCACGCACACACATTGACTTACGCACACACATACATGGACTTACGCACACACCACGACGGTATGCACTATGACTACAGCAGTGCATACCGACTGTGGTGGTACCTGCTTTCACTACAGCAGTGCACACGGCCTGTGGTGGTACCTGCTTGAACTACAGCAGTGCACACGGACTGTGATGGTACCTGCTCGAACTACAGCAGTGCAAACCGACTGTGATGGTTTGTGGTATCACTACAGCAGTGCCTAGTGACTGAGGTGGAACCTGCTATCACAAAGGCAGCACATACTGACAGTGGCGGTAGCGGCTATTACAAAAGCAGTGCATACTAACTGTGGTGGTAGCTGCTATGATAACAGCAGTGCATACTGTGGTGGTACATGGTTTAACAACAGCAGTGCATCCTGAATGTGCTGCTACCTGGTATAATTACAGCAGTGCATATCGTGGTGGTACCTGCTTTCCCTGCAGCAGTGCATGCATACTGCCGTGGTAGCTGCTATGATTACAACAGTGCATACAGTGGTGGTACCTGCTTCAGCTACTGGAGTGCATACGGACTTTGGTACCTGCTTTTACTACAGCAGTGCATAGTGACTGTGGTGGTCCGTGCTATTACTACAGCAGTGCATAGTGTGGTGGTACCTGCTTTCCCTGCAGCAGTGCATACATTCTGTGGTGTAAGCAGCTATGATTACAGCAGGGCACGCGGCAGTGGTGGTACCTGCTATAAGAAGAGTAGTACATGCTGACTATAGCAGTATATATCGACTGTACAGTAGTACATGCTTACTGTATAGCAGTAGATATCGACTCTACAGTAGTACATGCTGACTCTATAGCAGTATTTATGGACTGTACAGTAGTACATGCTGACTCCATAGCAGTAGATATCGACTCTACAGTAGTACATGCTGACTCTATAGCAGTATTTATGGACTCTGCAGTAGTACATGCTGACTCTATAGCAGTAGATATCGACTCTACAGTAGTACATGCTGACTCTAAAGCAGTATTTATGGACTCTGCAGTAGTACATGCTGACTCTATAGCAGTAGATATCGACTCTACAATCGTACATGCTGACTCTATAGCAGTATATATCGACTCTACAGTAGTACATGCTGACTGTATAGCAGTATATATCGACTCTACAGTAGTACATGCTGACTGTATAGCAGCATATATCGACTCTACATTAGTACATGCTGACTATATAGTAGTATTATGGACTCTGCAGTAGTACATGCTGACTCTATAGCAGTATTTATGGACTCTACAGTAGTACATGCTGACTGTATAGCAGCATATATCGACTCTACATTAGTACATGCTGACTATATAGTAGTATTATGGACTCTGCAGTAGTACATGCTGACTCTATAGCAGTATTTATGGACTCTACAGTAGTACATGCTGACTGTATAGCAGTAGATATCGACTCTACAGTAGTACATGCTGACTCTATAGCAGTAGATGTCGACTCTACAGTAGTACATACTGACTATATAGCAGTAGATATCGACTCTACAGTAGTACATGCTGACTCTATAGCAGTAGATGTCGACTCTACAGTAGTACATGCTGACTGTATAGCAGTATATATCGACTCTACAGCAGTACATACTGATTTTATAGTAGTATTTATCGACTGTACAGTAGTACATGCTGACTCTATAGCAGTATTTATCGACTCTACAGTAGTACATGCTGACTGTATAGCAGTATATATCGACTCTACAGTAGTACATGGTGACTCTATAGCAGTAGATATCGACTCTACAGTAGTACATGCTGACTGTATAGCAGTATATATCGACTCTACACTAGTACATGCTGACTCTATAGCAGTATATATCGACTCTACAGTAGTACATGCTGACTGTATAGCAGTATTTTTCGACTCTGCAGTAGTACATGCTGACTCTATAGCAGTAGATATCGACTCTGCAGTAGTACATGCTGAGTCTATAGCAGTATTTATCAACTCTACAATAGTACATGCTGACTCTATACCAGTATTTATCGACTCTACAGTAGTACATGCTGACTCTATAGCAGTATATATCGACTCTACAATAGTACATGCTGACTCTATAGCAGTATTTATCGACTCTACACTAGTACATGCTGACTCTATAGCAGTATATATCGACTCTACAGTAGTACATGCGGACTGTGTAGCAGTATATATCGACTCTACAGTAGTACATGCTGACTATATAGCAGTATTTATGGACTCTGCAGTAGTACATGCTGACTATAGCAGTATTTATGGACTCTGCAGTAGTACATGCTGACTCTATAGCAGTATTTATCGACTCTGCAGTAGTACATCCTGACGCTAAGGCAGTATTTATGGACTCTACAGTAGTACATGCTGACTCTATAGCAGTATATATTGACTCTACAGTAGTACATACTGACTATATAGCAGTATTTATCGACTCTACACTAGTACATGCTGACTCTACAGCAGTATTTATGGACTCTACAGTTGTACATGCTCACTCTATAGCAGTAGGTAACGACTCTACAGTAGTACATGCTGACTCTATAGCAGTATTTATCGACTCTACTATAGTACATGCTGACTCTATAGCAGTATTTATCGACTCTACTATAGTACATACTGACTATATAGGAGTATTTATCGACTCTACACTAGTACATACTGACTCTATAGGAGTATTTATCGACTCTACAGTAGTACATGCTGACTCTATAGCAATATTCATCGACTCTACTGTAGTACATGCTGACTGTATAGCAGTATATATCGACTCTACAGTAGTACATGCTGACTGTATAGCAGTATATATCGACTCTACAGTAGTACATGCTGACTCGATAGCAGTATTTATAGACTCTACACTAGTACATGCTGACTCGATAGTCGTATTTATCGACTCTACAGTAGTACATGTTGATTCTATAGCAGTATTTATCGACTCTACAGCAGTACATGCTGACTCTATAGCAGTATGTATGGGCTCCACAGTAGTACATGCTGACTCTATAGCAGTATTAATAGTGACTCTATAGCAGTATATTTAGTGACTCTCTAGCACAAATTACTCACGTGACAGAGTGCCGTGGTGTGGCTGTGAGCTCGACTGAACGCGAATCACGTGGCAGGTACGGCCCCCCCCCCCCACGCAATTGGCTTCAGTTGGTACGGTCGAGTTCTTGCATTAATTAAATAATTAAAATAATAATGGCACTAAATCGCTAATTAAACTAATTGAAAGTTGACGGCTGGGAAAACGGAATAGCCTATACCAAGCAGGGGGCTCGGGGCGTGTCACCCGGCAATTTTTTTCGGACTTGAACCCCACCGTTTGAGAGCCAAATCCCCTGCAAGCACGCGCACGTGGAGACCTTTATACATAAGATATAAATATATATTAGCATGCACCCATTTCTGTCTCTTAACATAGTCCGAACAGTTGACCGCATTGGTACTTACAAGTTCTGTCCGTGACCACATCTGACCGGTATGAAAAGGTTGTATTGGAAGCCTCCACAGACACGGAGTAGTTTCTTCCAGGAATCAGGCCAGTAAATGTTGCCGTGGTTGAGTAAATCGGGAATGTTGTAACCAAGTTTCCACTCGCAGTCTCTCGCAAGTAGGCCCGGTAGAAGAACAATTCCAGGAGAGAAGTCGTCCCTGAGACTGTCATGGTCGTGGAAGTCTTGTTCGTGATGGTTAAAACCGTGTAACTTGGCACTGCAACAGGTATGGGTGACATTTAATCAATACTGTATACTATTTCACTTATTTTACGAGAAAATTTTCAAATTATTAATAGACAGACAAATTAAAACATTTCTAAATGTGGATGTAGTGACCACCGTTTATGAAAGTATGTTAATCTAATAATTTTGAAAGGAATGTGTCATTAAATTGCTTCATTTGTAATATCAAATGATCAATTCCTATGAGTACCTGGAGTTGGATATTCATTGTTTAATGGATTTACTATTCACCTGTGAATTAAAAAATGTGAGAATATTGTATTGACTGAATATTTTATTTCGATATAAAGCTTTCGTGACTGCAAGGATTCATCTTCTTTCGGTAAAGTCACGTAGAATGAGAATAAAATAATAAAATAAAATAAGACAATAAAATCACACGACGTTTCAGCCACAACACAAGTAGCCTTCTTCAGGTGAAGGAACACAACTGTCGGGACGACAGAGCTTCAATGAACGCTGCTAAGATTCGTAGAGTCTTTTAAGCTGGTTGAGAGAAGTGAGGCACCTTGACAAAGGAGTTTACATATCAAACAGGATGATTTACCATTGAAATAGCTGAGGGATTAGCTTGTGACTGGTCACAAAAATAGCTATGTTAAAGTCAAAGTTTACACATCCACATGGACGCCAAAGGGGCTGCAACAACCCAACTATCATACAGTAAACCGATGTGAAAAAACCTAAGTCTAAATTACATCAATATAATAAATGTACTCAATATATTCTTCAATAAACTGAGATATTAACAGCAACTGGGTATACACTGCACTATATAATGAATACCATATAGTAAACCAATAAAAAACTAAAATATAAACTACCTCAATGTTATCAATAAACTCTATATACTCTCCAATCAGCTGAGCTACCAACAATAAGTCGTTATATATCACAATGCTATATGGCGAAAAAATGGGTGGATTATTCCCCTCAACGCCAGCACCACGGACAGCTACGAGCCCCGTTCAGACGGACGAGTCCATCCAAAAAAAAGGAAACCTGATGGTTCAATGAGCCACTCTGTCTACAGGAAAGCTACCCATACGGATGCTTATCTGAAACCGGATTCCCACCACCATCCATCCCAGAAGAATGCCCTCATCAAGACTCTATACCATAGAGCCCAATGCATTTCCGACCAGGAACACATTACCAGTGAACTCAAGCACGTACACAAGGCTCTCAGGGCTAATGGTTACTCCGACTACACAATCCGCAAAGCCATCACTCCAGTCATGAAGAAGGATCCTCTTGTGGAGCCACTCAAAACCATCACCTTACCCTACATTGCAGGGGTTACAAAAAAGATCTCCAAAATCCTGAATAAACACAAGATCCAGGTCCGATTCAACACAGTACATAAAATCCGTGATCTGGTTCCATCTGTAAACGATGCTGGTCCAGACATACAGTACCCGGGCGTTACAAACTAAAGTGCCAATGATAGCTAAGCCAGAATCCATCTTCTCGGTTGAAATTGTCTCTGTGATTGTATATGTGGATAGCCTCATGAACGAATCTCTCATGGTAGCCAGATGGCTTACAAAGAACCTCTGTCTTGGAGACGTCAATGTCATGTGAGCCTACTGAATTTTAACAATGATCTGCCACGGCCGAGGTGTTGGTCCTACCGTGTTTAAGGTATGCTTTGTGTTCACGAATGCGGTCCGAGACATGGCGTTTGGTTTCTCCAATGTAACTACTACCACAGAGGCAACTTAGTTTGTAGACACCAGGGTACTGTATGTCCGGAATCACATATTTTACAAACGGAACCAGATCACGGATTTTATGTAATGTGTTGAAACAGACCTGGATCTTGTGTTTATTCACGATTTTGGAGATCTTTTTTGTGATCCCCGCAATGTAGGGTAAAGTGATGGTTTTGAAAGGCTCCTCAAGAGGGTCCTTCTTCATGGTTTGAGTGATAGCTTTGCGGATTGTATAGTCAGAGTAACCATTAGCCTTAAGAGCTTGGTGTACATGCTTGAGTTCACTGCCTATGTGTTCCTGGTCGGATATGCATTGGGCTCTATCGTACAGAGGCTTGATGAGAGAATTCTTCTGTGATGGATGGTGGTGGGAATCCGGTTTCAGATAAGCATCCGTATGGGTAGCTTTCCTGTAGACAGAGTGGCTCATTGAACCATCAGGTCTCCTTTTTTTTTATGGACTCGTCCGTCTGAACGGGGCTCGTAGCTGTCCGTGGTGCTGGCGTTGAGGGGAATAATGCACCCATTTTTTCGCCATATAGCATTGTGATATATAACGACTTATTGTTGGTAGCTCAGCTGATTGGAGAGTATATAGAGTTTATTGATAACATTGAGGTAGTTTATATTTTAGTCTTTTATTGTTTTACTATATGGTATTCATTATATAGTGTAGTGTATACCCAGTTGCTGTTAATATTTCAGCTTATTGAAGAATATATCGAGTACATTTATTATATTGATGTAATTTATACTTAGGTTTTTTTCACATCGGTTTACTGTATGATAGTTGGGTTGTTACAGCCGCTTTGGCATCCATGTACTAGGTGCCTCTGTGAATGTGTAGGCTTTGACTTTAACATAGCTATTTCTGTGACCAGTCACAAGCTAATCCCTCAGCTATTCAAATGCTAAATTCTCCTGTTTGATATGTAAACTCCTTTGTCAAGTTGCCTCACTTCTCTCAACCAGCTTAAAAGACGCTACGAATCTTAGCAGCGTTCATTGAAGCTCTGTCATCCTGACAGTTTTGTTCCTTCACCTGAAGAAGGCTACTTGTGTTGTGGCCGAAATGTCGTGAGAATGTTATTGTCTTGTTTTATTTTATTATTTTATTCTTATTCTACGTGACTTTACCGAAAGAACCAAAAAAGATTAATATTTGATGTTTAGATTGTATTTTTTAGGTAGAACAATTAACATTTCACAAATATTATTGGGAATGTCACGTGAACACACATAGGATGCTGAGATTCCAGTTACGTGTTGCAGTTAGACACATTTTGCGTGTAAGTTATTATTTTCTTCTGGCCTGCACACATTTTCTGCCTATTGAAGTTAGTTTTATCTATTCAAATAATACTTCATTAATTTTGCATTTATTATTTTACCAGGTAAGACCTACTGAGCTATGTACTGTAGATCTTTTTCAGAGCCAAAAATTATAGCTCAATGAAATGACTTTTCAAGTGGAAATTTGTTGTTGAATTCAATTTAAACTTTCAAATATCAGTTTAGGATAAACTTTCGAAATAATGCATGAAACACATATATGAAATTGATCTTAAGTGGATAAAGAATACATTTATTGCGAGCAATGAACATCATTTTTTGGGTATGCGATAACAAGACAACAGGGCCCACATACATTGACCAACACACACTCGTTTAAGTAACCTTGCAAGCAGATGACTGATGCATCTTCATTGTGGCCGCAGTTGTGAATCCCCCAGGGAGGATGACTACAGTCGGAAAGCCGAGTCTCGTAACCAGAGCACTGAACATCGTCGAGCCAGATACGGCCATTGCCCAATCCAAAGTAAGCCAATGACACGGCAAACGCAGTGAGCCCACAACCCAGCTGACGACACACGACCTTGGCATCCTGTGGGCTCCAGAAGTCGTCACACACCGTGCCCCACTCGCCATTGTAGAACACCTCAACCCGGCCCTGACATGTGGTGGCATTCCCAGCGAGCCGAATTGACATATCTAATTAAACACACACACAAATGGAGACCGATATTTAACAATTCGCCTACCATGCAATGTCATACATTGTCACAATTCTGTTCAATAATTGATGTGTTTTTTTTATTTTTACAATGTCCATTGTGATGGTAGTGAATAAAGCAGTCGTAAAATGTTTTTTTGGGTTAGATCGCGTAAATATGAATGTGTCGTTAACCCACCACTACCTGACAGCCAATTAGTAAGGTTTGTGACGTAAACAAACATACCAATTACTTACCTAGTTCAACATAATGGTTGTGCGTTGGAGAGTAAACCCACAACATTTACAATTTGAATACGAATTGAATTCTGGCATAATCGGCCAATGAAACTGGTTGCAATTGCCAGTGAAACGTACTCAAAATTTGGGGGGGGGGGGGGTGTGGGGGGAAATAACTAAAATAATTATAAACTCTAAATCGTGTTTCCATCAAGCTGCAGGTCACTCACTTGTTTGGGCGTTCACTTCGCCATAATAGTTGCTGAAGCCGAAGCAGCCGAGTGTGACATGGATTCTGTACGACCTGCCCGCAACCAGCCCCGTGAATGTGAAGTTGGAGGCGCTCCCATCTGTGCTGAAGTTTGAGGATGCGTTTTGGACGTTGTCGTACAATTCGAAGGTGTAGCTGTTGACAGAGCTGTTGTTCGTCCATGTGATTGTGATGCTTGTGTCACTCGTCTCGCCGACCTGCAATCCTTTAAGTAAAAAATAATTAATGTACACGTCTCTTTAATTTACAACGTGCTTGTGACGTGCATCCCTTTGTCAACCCTCTGCTGCAGGAAAGCCTTTCCGCGCTGTACTGGACCTGAGGGTTTTACTATACCTTGCCACGCTGTTTTTTGTGAGTCAGATATGGTGTGGTATACATTATATCGTTATTTATAATGTACATATCAATTACTCTGAGGATACGGTTGGGGGGTATGGGGGCTACCATTTTTAATGGTAACATTGGAGAAACTGGTACGTTTTATATTATGAGGGAGTTGGAGACTCTTGTCTAAATTTGAGCATGCCGCTAAGAGATGGGGCCCTACCATTAGTATTTTATGTCATCAAATACAGTCTTTCCTGAAGAACACTACGTATTACTACTAACACTACGTATTGAATAAAAATCGTGTTATAATAAATAATAAGGCAAAGTACAGTCCACGATAACTCGTGAGATGTGTATGCAGGCCGAACAAATCTAGAAGCATCCAACATCTAGAAGCATCCAGAAGCATCCCAATGCCTTGTGCGATGCTACACCGAGGCAGCCGTACAACTGCTTATTCCCAGTTGTGCGATGTATTTCCATTCACTTGATCGCCTTATCCAATTCACATCCACGTTATAACAAATTTTTCCATGATACATTTGTAATGTAGCTCTCTCAACAACTCAACACATAACTGCGAGTAACTATGTACACTTGGGTATTGATACAGCACTCTTCTTCTGAGATAACACAACTCCCAATCTTAAGGCGACTCGCAGACGATGGAGACGACCCGATCCAAGGCGACGGCGATGACAGCTCCCCACAACAAGTAGCCCCAAGCCACCACTCACACTGCTATTTATGCTCGCCTGCTCCGGCCACACCCTAAGCCTCAATCCGCCTCACAGTACCTGGCCCTGCCACTCACATCCTTCTCACACTTCCCCGCCATTGGATCCCGGCTCATGAATCCTCATTAACTGGTCCTCCGCCATTGGCTGCCGTCTCATTAATAGCTCGTCCATTAGGAACCATGGTCCCTGGGAGCCACACTGTCCCACTATCACTCCACACTGTCATTACATCACCCACCTCCCCCCTCTTTAAAAAAAAGTAGGCGTCCTCGGCTAACACAATTTCAGACAATTTCTGTCTAGGTCGAATCACCCATTTAGCACAACACATACCAATCGTTTGAGGATTGAAATAACAACTTACATTTCTAGAACCCCAATGCGGACAACGGTAACCAACCCCATGACACAACAATAACGACAAAAACCCGAACAACACGTGCACGCAACCCACGCGATCATCCCATAAAGCCACTTACATTTCGAACATACGGACACCCACACCAGAACGAACAGCATCACGGCGATCCGTCAGAGAAATGTCCAGTATTTGACGTCGGTCCTTCTCCCTGGGCTTGCACTCAAGCCTGGAGAGGGTTTTGAGGTCTTCGGGCACTTCTTACACTAAGGATCCTCAACTTGGGATGGAATAACACACATCACTCGGTGTCTGATTTCTCCGGCCCACTGGCCTGGCCCATCCGATGCCCCAGACCCCGACTGCAGACCTCCACCGGCCCTTTACCAGGCCAGTGCAAATTTCGAGGACTAAAACAATAGCACTTCGCAACTGACTCAGCCATGCTCTATCCCTTACTACACCGCCTCTGACTCACACACTCCGACACATCACACAGTCTGACAATTTACAGACAAGGAAGGTTTTTCCCCTTCTGAGGCCGAACCCCATCCACCCCCCCCCCATAGGGGCGAATTTTCACGGCCAATATTCCTTCAACAGGAACAACATGCACCCCAAACAACTAAGGGTTAAAGCCACAACTCACCCTTCCATGCTTTTCAGCATGTGTCCTTACTCACTCTGGTCTCAGCGCTCGGCCCAAACCCGTCGCATTCTGCTAACCTCCTTCAGAAATATTCTTTTCACCTGAACCCCCGCAATTTCTATATCCCTGAATAGGATCTGCAGGAATAGTTCCCCTATCCACTCGACAATGTTAGCACCCAGAGCGGTATGAGTCCGCGGCCCTTTTCGCTTCCAGACAGCCCAAGGAGAACCCCCGTCTCCTGCCAGCCAGGTCTCCCCATTCACTACAACGTAACGGGACCACTATCCCTGAGCTCTGTGAGCCTCTGGCCCACTATTCCAGATGCGCCACGGAGGCCCTCGACCTCCGGGCCGTCAGATCAGGCCTACTGCTCCAGACGCACCACAGAGGGTCTCGACCTCTGGTCCGTCAGGTTTAGTCGTCTGTCGCCACATGATGGGATCACCACTCCCTAGCAATGTGAGCCCACAGCACCACAGCTCTAGATGTGCCATGGAGGGTCTCAACCTCCAGGCCGTCAGGTCAAGCCGTCTGCCACAGTAGGACGAGACCACTTCTCCTGGCCATAATGCCCAATCTTCACTGCGCTAGATGTGCATGAAGGGTCTCGACCTGTGGCCCATCAGGTCAAACCGTCTGCCACCACACGACCGGACCCCTACTCCCCGACCAATGTGAGCACACTGCCCACTGTGCTAGACATGCCACGTATTGTCTCGCCTCCGGGCCGTCAGGTCAAGCCATCTGTCACACCACGATGGGACCACAACTCTCGTGTCAGGCTGATCCCCAACAATTACCTGGACTCACTGCTGCTCGCCTATGGGGGGGGATCCTCGTAACATTTGTGCCACCCGCCCCCCCCCCCCCCCCAGCATTGGAACACATTCTGGACATGCAACAATTGCAGGGGCATCCTGGTCACGATCTGTGCCTCAGAAATAGACCACAGCCAGCGTTCCAAATCGAATTACTGGCACCACAATTCCCACTTCTCTTATTCTGATACAGGCGACGATGCTCCCATTCTTTCATAAGCCGCTACACACACAATCACCACGGCAAGCTCTACGATCCCTTATTCTAAAGGGCTTTGTAACAACCGACTTCAGAACCAAAATTCAAGGCACTCATCTCACAACACATAATTCACAATTTCACCCCATACACAACATACAATTCCCGATGAACCAGCCACACACCCTACACCACTCGGCCCACCAACAGTCGCCACTGCGTGCCCGAGTTCGGCTTTTACGCATCCCCGATGACCTTGATGCATGAGGTAATTTTAGCATTCGGGTGTCTGGTGCATCGTGACTCCTTAGGGCTGTGCCGTAGCTGTCGACAAGGCGGTGGACGCAGGGGGCTCCATGATGTCCCCATGACACTTGGCATCCCTACACGAAGGGTCGAAGCTGGCTGCAGCTGAGCAGGCGACCAAGGGCGCCCGCAACGAAGGCACTGAATTGGACCGGGATCGCCACTCCCAAAGCGGTCCCAGCGTACCCCGTCGCCGCCCGTCCCCTCCGCAATCCGCCGCCGTCACTCCTCCCGAAGACTCCTCTTCTTCCTCCAATGGCTCCACAACAATCTTGGATGATCGGCCAGTCCCTCCTTCCCCGAGTCTGGATAATTTGCTCCATGCAGCCCCCCAAGTCCATCCTTGTCGGGCCTCCCCCTACTTGACAGCACCCCTCGGCAGATTGTACACAGCCGTCATTTCCTTGTCGGCATCCTGGAGCGTTGATGTCCTCTCCTCCGGGATGGCCCAGAACACCACGAGGGCCTCATCATGAAGAGCCGTAGGCAAAGCAGATAGCGTCTCTTCCTCCATCCAGCCGACAGACCGGTACGCTGCTCCAAACTGTTGGGTGAAGGCACTCCAGTCTCCCCCCGCCCTGTAAATTATTTAATTAATGGCAACCATCATTGTTGCTCGATGGCTCCTCACACTCCTCCATCCGAGCCGACACCGTCATCGCTGCCTCTCATGCAGGCTTAAAAATGGCGGCCGTTGGCCGCGTCTCCACCCGCAAAATGGCAGCCCCCCACCGTGGGAACCCCAATCGCAGGCGGACACTCCACCATCCATGCCCGACTTTGCAGGTCATCCCCGGCCACATTTGCTCCCGAAGTCGGAACTCTCTTCTTCAACGCCATGTCAGCAACAGTCAATTGGAGCCAATCCGCCTTTGCCATCAGGGCTCAGCCCTCCTCCGACGCAGGTGCCGCATCCTCTGCACCCTTGGTCTTCCTCACCGGGCTTCCTCCCGGCTCCTGGGCGAACTCCATGGCCGTCTCCCTTCTCCTTCTCTGAAGATGCCACAGGTGGGTTCTTAGTATTTACCATCTTCGGCATTTTACAATAGAGGTGGGGTCACAGGTGGTGCATCCACAAAGAAGTTCAACATACATACATCCTCAAGCAAACCTCCCATAGTTGCTGGGTCTGTCCCGTGACCTCCTGCCAGTGAAACTTCAACACTTCTTGTGACCTCTATGTGTATCTCTTTGTGCTTTGTCTTGCTTTGTCTTGGTCTGTCTATTCGCGTGTGTCTCTGCATATCTTCTTGTCTCTGTTTCTCTGTGGTTGTTTCTTTGACTCTGTGCCTGCATGTCTGTCTCTCTAGCCCGTCCCACTATATCCATCTCTGTCTCTATGTCGACTCTCTCCTTCCCCTGCACTTCCGATTAGCATGATTGGCTACGTACGGTGCAAATAAAGGTTAACAAACAGGTCTCAGAGTACGCAGGCTTAGAGTACGCAGATCCACATATATGTGACCGACCCCGATTCACTTGTGCGACACGCACGGGGCAAGAAGCGAGTCAAATCATCCCTACCATCATGCGAACATGTATTTGAGGGCATATAACTGTATCGCCCGCTCAAAAAATGAGTTTAAAAAAATTGTGTTCTATCTGACCTGGATGCTCCCGTAGATTAGTTAATCATTTACTATACAGGCCTGTACTCTATAAAAAAATGCGTAGTGACTAACTCGGAGAAAATTTAACTTGGAGGTACTTATTTTTTAACGAGCACCATCGGATTATACACACCCTATGTGGGTACACACTCTACAGTCGCTCGCCTATACAAAACTCTACGTGGGTTGCTAGCCTATACAAATACTAACTGTCTAACACTAATGGCACTGAACCAAGGCAGCCAACAACTATCTAGCAGCCCAATATCGATTGAAGACGACAGCAACGATGGCAACAAACTTGAACAGCATTGCGGAGATCCCACTCCAACGACAGCCCCGAGGTCCCTCACAGGGGCCCCTCTTATACTCTCAGTGTGGCCCCGCTCAGTCCGGCCACGCCCCCTCTCTGGAACCTACTTGCAGGTTCCCGAGGCTTCCCGATATGCCCCCCTCTGTGACCTTTCCCCTAGATGTCTCCCTCTCATGTCTTTTATAGCCTGCTGACGTCAGTACTGCTGTACACCGCAGTCCCCCTTCTTTGCCAGCAGCCAGCACTATGCCACTACATCACACTCCCCCCACCCCCCCGTGAAAAAAAACCCAGCTGTCTCGGCTTACAACAATCACGTAAGGAGAGGGGGAACTTACAGCATAACAGTTAGGGTTAACAGCCATCAGTAAAAAAAACCCCTAACTATTAACCCCAAACCGTGAGAGAAGCAAACAATTTACGACATCTGCTGGCCCGCCACAGCTCACGAGCATCGGGAAGAAATGCAGATCAGCTGAAAGCCACAGCCTGGCTCATGGCGGTGGCCACCCGAAGAACGACATGCCTCGTCCGGCTCGACTCCGATGAAACGGCACCCCCACCAAGGCAAGCAGCGCGCTTCAGAAGGCAAGAGGTGTCTCGGCATCCCCCCACCTCCGCAGCACAAACCTTCAGTGCGCATTGAAAATGGCGGCCGGGCGCATGCCTGAGGCAGAATCGCAGAGCCTCCTCCTCAGACCACCCGATCAAGGTGCAGGCCGCCCTGAAGCGGCGCTGAAACACCGTCCCGTCACCTCCTGCCCCCATGAACTCACAGAGGGTAGGCAGGCGCTCCCGCGGAAGCCGCCAATGGCATCTTGAATTGGGCGGGAACCAGCCCCTGCTCCGCCAACAAAATGGCGGCCACTTGCTGTGCCGCACCCACGGTGGGTGAAATGGCGGCCGCTTGCGTGAGAAACCCGCCAGTTACCCCGCTGGCGCGGCGGTGGAAGGCTAGCCATCCGCCAGCCGCTCCACAGGTGCCACAGCCTCGGGACAGATGACCGGGATCCCAGATCCCGGGACTGTTGAGGGGATGACGTCCCCATCGTTCTCGTCTTCCGAGAACACTACTAGTGGGTTTTTCCTTTTCGCTGCTTTTGACATGACGAATTTTCTTTTTCTTAGCACTTCTCACGCCAAATGTAGTGAATAACTCGGAGACGATAAGACTTGGAGGCACTTATTTTATTTAACGAGCACCATCCGATTATACAGCGTTACATGGGTTCACACTCTACAATCGCTCGCCTATACACAACTCTATGTGGGTTGCTATCCTATACAAAACACTAACCATCAAACATTTACAGCGCTGAACCGACATAGCCAACACCTATCTAGCAGCACAATATCGAGTGAAGATGACAGCGACGATGGCAACGAAACTACAGCGACGATGGCGACGATCTTGAACAGCACAACGGGGATTCCACTGCAACAACAGCCCCGAGATCCCTCACAGGGGCCCCTCCTATACTCTCAGCGTGGCCTCACTCCACCCTGGCAATGCCCCCTCTCTGGAATCTACTAGCGGGTTCCCGAGAACTTCCCGATGGGCCCCCCTCTGTGACCTTTCCCACAGATGTCCCCCTCTCATGTCTATCATAACCTGCTGACGTCAGTACTGATGTACACCGCAGTTCCCCTTTTTCGCCAGCAGCTAGCACTATGCCACTACACATGTATTTACATTTATATTCATTGTATATACCCTCTTACATTTTATATCTACACTCGTATAGGCATACCACAACTTATGCAAATTCATGCTTACGTGGGGATATACGGAACCTAACTCCCGCCGCATGCTTTGAGCCCTTACTTTACATGCATATATGTATGTCTCTTTGTGTTTGTCTATAACTATTTGTGCCTCTCCTTGTTGCTGTGTGCCTCTCTGCCTTTGTATCCCATACCTCACCCGCCATATTCCACCTGTACCCTACCCAACCTCCTCCAAAATAGTGCAGAGGAACGTTTGAATCATGATTTTTAGTGCAACTATTTTAGAGCATACCTGATATGGAACAACCATTTGCAACTCTTGCGACCTAGAAAAAGAAAAGAATCACAAAATGAAATGTATCTTACATCACAACAACATTGTACCTCGTTGAATTCACAATTATTATCGCTTCATATTTTTCACAAGCAAATCCCGATTGTGTTACCGGCATCGTCTCACAAGCCCCCGTATCCATTCCTAACTTTCAGAGAGCAGCTCACAGAAAAGGATACCACAGAGCTATTTCCAAATGAAAAATGTGAATAAGTTTTTGCCTTTCTGGAACTAAAACAGGTGACTACTTATCTGTTATTCTTAGTTTTTTCGGTAAAGTCACGTTGAAGAGAAACAACAGAATAACAAAATATATATAAAACAATAAAAAATTCTCACGACGTTTCGACCATAACTCAAACGGTCATCATCAGGTGTGTCGGTTTGCATAAATTTATTTTTAAAACGGCATATTTATTTATTTAAAAAAAAAACGTTTGCGTCACGCGCAGCGATTGGCAGTTTGCCCAGGACTAGTCCATCTATTTTTTGAAAAGAGGAGGGGGGAGACGAAATTTGTTTTTATGTATGCTGTCTGAAAGCCACTGTAAGCGTGAACAATCAATCAAGAACTGAAATGATTTATCAAATCTTTCCAATGATTGCTAAGATAGAATCCATCTTCTCGGTTGAAATTGTCTCTGTGCTTGTATATGTGGATAGCCTCATGAACGAATCTCTCATGGAAGCCAGATGGCTTACAAAGAACCTCCGTCTTGGAAAAGTCAATGGCATGTGAGCCTACTGAATTAGAACAATGATCTGCTACGGCCGAGGTGTTGGTCCTACCGTGTTTAAGGTCTGCTTTATGTTCACGAATGCGGTCTGAGATATGGCGTTTGGTTTCTCCAATGTAACTACTACCACAGAGGCAACTTAGTTTGTAGACACCAGGGTATTGTATGTCCGGAATCACATCTTTTACAGACGGAACCAGATCACGGATTTTATGTAATGTGTTGAAACGGACCTGGATCTTGTGTTTATTCAAGATTTTGGAGATCTTTTTTGTGATCCCAGCAATGTAGGGTAAAGTGATGGTTTTGAAAGGCTCCTCAAGAGGGTTCTTCTTCATGGTTTGAGTGATAGCTTTGCGGATTGTATAGTCGGAGTAACCATTAGCCCTAAGAGCTTGGTGTACGTGCTTGAGTTCACTGCTTATGTGTTCCTGGTCGGATATGCATTGGGCTCTATGATACAGAGTCTTGATGAGAGAATTCTTCTGTGATGGATGGTGGTGGGAATCCGGTTTCAGATAAGCATCCGTATGGGTAGCTTTCCTGTAGACAGAGTGGCTCATTGAACCATCAGGTCTCTTTTTAATTAGGACATCCAAAAAAGGTATCTTGCCATCTATTTCGACTTCCATGGTAAATCTGATGGCTGGGTGTATGGAATTGATGTGGTCGAAGAATTGGTCTAGAGCAGGCCGGCCATGTGGCCAGATGACAAAAGTGTCATCCACGTACCTCTTCCATAAGGTTGGGCGCAGAGTGGCAGTCTGGATGGCGTCAGTCTCAAATTTCTCCATGAAAATGTTAGCTATAACTGGAGAAAGGGGGGAGCCCATTGGGGTGCCCTCAGTTTGTTTGTAGAAAGTTCCATTCCAAGTGAAGTATGTATTGGTTAAACAGTGTCTCACCAGGGGGGGTACCTCAGTGTTTAGTCCTTGATGAACCAAGTCTTCAATGATTGCAATGGTGTCAGGTACAGGAACCTTGGTGAATAAGGAAACTACATCAAAACTGACAAGCAGGTCGTCTGGGGACAGGGAAATACCCTTGATTGTTGATACCAGGTGAGTAGAATTTTGTACCGCAGAGGTGGTCTTTCCAGTGAAAGGACGCAGGATTTCAGACAAAAAACGAGCTAGTTTGTAGGTGGGGGAGCTGATAGTAGAGACTATGGGACGAAGAGGTGTATCAACTTTATGTATTTTTGGTAAGCCGTATAATCTTGGTGGCCTGGCAGCAGAAGGTTTCAACGAAAACTGTTTAGATTGATCAATTAATGCGGTTGAATCAGAAATTATTTTGTTGGTTTGTGTGACGAGGCTGTTGGTGGGATCTCTTTTTATTTTTGTATAACTACCATCGTCGAGTAATTCTTTAATTTTGTTGTTGTATTCTATTTTATCCATGATGACAGTAGCATTGCCTTTGTCAGCTGAGAGAACTACAATATCATTCCTCTTTTTTAATTTATATAATTCAAAACGCTCATCTTTGCTGAGGTTGCTAGCTGGTATCTTAGCGTTTTTGAGGGTTGCAGCGATTTCAGATCTTGCTACGTCTGCAGCGATGTGACCCAGGCCCCTGAGAGCAACGTCTACTTGGGCAATTATATCATTAACTGGTATGTGTTTAGGTGTGACTGCAAAGTTTAGACCTTTAGCTAAAACGGATTTCAGACCATCGGAAATAGAACTGTTACTGCGATTAATTACGACTTTATTAACGTCTACCTTTTTGGTGTGTGGGTCCGGTCTTTTGTTGAAGAGGAGGTTAAATTTGGAAATCAGGTTTTCCTTACATTTGGTCGACATAGTAGCAGCTGAAGAGGCAGTCATATTGTCTACATGTTCCCAATCCGATGTGGACATTATTGCCGTCAATGATAAGTGTGATTTGTAGAGTGTCTTGTCTAACTGATCTAGTTGTGTGCGTATAAGTCTGATTTTTTCTGAGATAAGAGCTAAGCTAGTTTTGAAAAGAATTCGTTTCGCATTAGAAGAAGTTACAGCAGCAGAGGTCAGTGTAAATGCGATTGGTATTACCCCAGAGTCGCGGCATCTCTTCAGGAAGGTGAGAGACTCGATCAGCTGAGCTTTCTTATCCCGGAGTTTGTTGAAGGATCTTAAAGTTATGTGAAAACCCTCCCCGTAGAGGCGATTAAATTTTGATTTAAAGCTTTCGTGACTGCAGTAATTCATATTCTTAGTTTTTTCGGTAAAGTCACGTTGAAGAGAAACAACAGAATAACAAAATATATATAAAACAATAAAAAAATTCTCACGACGTTTCGACCATAACTCAAACGGTCATCATCAGGTGTGTCGGTTTGCATAAATTTATTTTTAAAACGGCATATTTATTTATTTAAAAAAAAAACGTTTGCGTCACGCGCAGCGATTGGCAGTTTGCCCAGGACTAGTCCATCTATTTTTTGAAAAGAGGAGGGGGGAGACGAAATTTGTTTTTATGTATGCTGTCTGAAAGCCACTGTAAGCGTGAACAATCAATCAAGAACTGAAATGATTTATCAAATCTTTCCAATGATTGCTAAGATAGAATCCATCTTCTCGGTTGAAATTGTCTCTGTGCTTGTATATGTGGATAGCCTCATGAACGAATCTCTCATGGAAGCCAGATGGCTTACAAAGAACCTCCGTCTTGGAAAAGTCAATGGCATGTGAGCCTACTGAATTAGAACAATGATCTGCTACGGCCGAGGTGTTGGTCCTACCGTGTTTAAGGTCTGCTTTATGTTCACGAATGCGGTCCGAGATATGGCGTTTGGTTTCTCCAATGTAACTACTACCACAGAGGCAACTTAGTTTGTAGACACCAGGGTATTGTATGTCCGGAATCACATCTTTTACAGACGGAACCAGATCACGGATTTTATGTAATGTGTTGAAACGGACCTGGATCTTGTGTTTATTCAAGATTTTGGAGATCTTTTTTGTGATCCCAGCAATGTAGGGTAAAGTGATGGTTTTGAAAGGCTCCTCAAGAGGGTTCTTCTTCATGGTTTGAGTGATAGCTTTGCGGATTGTATAGTCGGAGTAACCATTAGCCCTAAGAGCTTGGTGTACGTGCTTGAGTTCACTGCTTATGTGTTCCTGGTCGGATATGCATTGGGCTCTATGATACAGAGTCTTGATGAGAGAATTCTTCTGTGATGGATGGTGGTGGGAATCCGGTTTCAGATAAGCATCCGTATGGGTAGCTTTCCTGTAGACAGAGTGGCTCATTGAACCATCAGGTCTCTTTTTAATTAGGACATCCAAAAAAGGTATCTTGCCATCTATTTCGACTTCCATGGTAAATCTGATGGCTGGGTGTATGGAATTGATGTGGTCGAAGAATTGGTCTAGAGCAGGCCGGCCATGTGGCCAGATGACAAAAGTGTCATCCACGTACCTCTTCCATAAGGTTGGGCGCAGAGTGGCAGTCTGGATGGCGTCAGTCTCAAATTTCTCCATGAAAATGTTAGCTATAACTGGAGAAAGGGGGGAGCCCATTGGGGTGCCCTCAGTTTGTTTGTAGAAAGTTCCATTCCAAGTGAAGTATGTATTGGTTAAACAGTGTCTCACACACCTGATGATGACCGTTTGAGTTATGGTCGAAACGTCGTGAGAATTTTTTATTGTTTTATATATATTTTGTTATTCTGTTGTTTCTCTTCAACGTGACTTTACCGAAAAAACTAAGAATATGAATTACTGCAGTCACGAAAGCTTTAAATCAAAATTTACTTATCTGTTGTTTTCATCTTTAATCTAATCAGTAAAACTGTGTTATCTTCAAAATGACGATAATTTCTCTACTGCGGCTAAAAGGAAGGCTCCCATTTCCATGAATCATAGTTTTATTACATATTAATATTTAACATCATAACATTGACACAACTAAAGCCCACCTTGTGTCGTTAACAGAATCTCAGGTTTCAACATGATCTGACCACGCAAAAGAATGTTCCCAATATTGTTTTCAGTTTCAGGTTCAGATTGTGCATATGTACCAGAGATAGCATCTCTATTTCACATCGGTCTCATCTTGAGACCTCGGGCACTAATTCCCATTGTATGTGGGTCTGCATTTCTCTCATTGCATTCACTAAGTTCATTTTCTGTTGTGACTTAAGACTTTCGTGACTGCAGGAATTCCTATTCTTTGGTTCTTTCGGTAAAGTCACGTAGACAGAAAAAGAATACAAAAATAAAGTTGATAAAAAATAACCATTTAAAAAACACTAATGTAGACTGTA